TCGGACTTTGGTGTCTGGAATTTGAAAAAGGCTTTCTTGGTGTCCTGTGCTGTCCTTGGTGGACAAAGAGAAGAGGCTGTGAGGATGGCATGGTGAGATTATTCAGATTCTTTGCCAGCAAGTGTCCCTCCCACCACCTCTTCAGGGGCAGGACATGGGTCTGTCTGCTTTGACTTACATGTGGCTGTAGGACTGGCTCTGGCAGCTCCAATGCTCAGATGTGCTTGTAGTGGGCTGCCCCTTCCTGCTCCTGGTGACCCCGCGGGAGAACTGCCAGGGCAGGTGTTGCCCTCCAGCCTGGTCCATGGTGAGACATGTGGAGCAGAGCCAGCCCACCGCACTGTGAGCTGGGGGTAACATGTCTGGGGCCCTTAATTGGGGGCAGGTTGTTATGCAGCATTGATGTGGCACCTACTGACTAATACAGACCCTGTGGTCTGAACAACCAGCCATCCAGTGGGTGACACCATCATCTTCTTTTTAAGATCAGTATTGAAATGTTCTCTTGATCATTGTTGGGAAGCAGGAGCCCAGCTGTGCCCTCCAGGCTTGCAGGCTCCTGCCATTGGGCAGGGGTGGAGAGTCCTCATGGTCTCCGGGTGATAGTGTAGAGAGCCATGAATCAATGAGTAGAAATTCCAGGAGGCAGATTTCGACCAAGAGGAACTATTTCTCCTAAGGACTCATAGACCAGCTCCCCATGAGTGTAAGTGTGGGCCCAGGCTGTGGAGTGGAGTGGGTAAGTGCCTTGGAGGGGTGGGCTGGGGACCTGCGGAGGTCCCGGCAGTGCTCAGATCCGTGATTTTCACATTGCTTCCCCTGCTCAAAATGTCTTGTAAATGTGTCAGTGTTGTCTATGTTCAGTGGATGTAGCTACAACCAGTGAAGTTCAGCTGTTTGGAGAGACTACACGTCTCTGGTTGAAAAGGGAAGACCCTGACTACACCCCCTCACCCTGTGAGGGGACCCGGAAGACAATTCCAAAGGATGCTTTGCACATCTGTAAGAGGGCAACCTTGTATTTACAGGAAGCAGTGATATTCATGTTTCTGTGTTTGTGAATTATCCCTTTGTGTAAGCAAAGCAGACAACAAAATGAAACCGGCTCCCTGGTGTGTTTGGGTTGGAGGTACTGGATCCCGACACTCAACACGCTTCTTGTCATCAGGCACATGTCTCCAGGTGACACACACATTGCTGCTGCCCACCCCCCGACCCCACCCCACCCCCGTCTCCTGGGACCAGTTCCCGAGCCAGCCAGCCCCTGTGTGGCATTTCATGATGTTGCTCTGCATACAGTTTGCTAACTGCTTCATGGAGCAGCTCCTTCCCCGGCTGTATCAGGGGTCCCCTAAGAGTAATGGCACGTTCCAGGCTCTGGGGAACCTCCCCTGCAGGCCCTATAGTGCTGAGCCTGCGGATGCCACTCAGGGTGGCTGCAGGAGTGCTGCTGCTGCTGCTGCTGGGAAGGCTGGCCTCCTGGGGCACAGCGGGGGGTATTTGTGTGTTCATAGTAGCTCGTCCGGCAGGTGCTTTGTCCCAACATCAGTCCCCAGAGACACAGAGACATGAGTGGTGGTCAAACCTGTCAGCATACTGTCCAGAAAATTTAAAGTTGTAAATTTGAAAACCCATAGAGCCAATTATTTCTGAATGTTAGAGATAAGTGACTTTTGTGTGTAAAAGTTCGGCTTTGAGCAAATATTCTGGCTTTTTGTCATTTCATGGTTAGTAGCATCGAGAAGTCAGTCCAGTCCCTGAAGTATGGAACCCGATTTCTTATCTTTGCAGAAGGACTGCAAAGGACTAGTGTTTAGTCTGATTGGTGACAGTTTTAGCAGGACTTTAAATGAGCTGGTGAGCCAGTGCCCCATGTATGACTTCAGCTCTGTTAAGATACTTTATCTTTAAAGACAGTTTTTTACAATTTTTTGATGTCTGAATCGTTAAGAAGGGAGAAGATGTCATTTGATGTTTAAACGGTAACAAAACACAGAAAGTTGTTGAATAGACAGATACTAGGTCTCCTAGGCTTATCAGTTGTATAATTTTATGCCTCCTTCAGTTCTCAAAGGGCTAAAATTTGTCTGTTTTCTCTCCTGAGACCGAGTCCTCAGTGTTGGCAGGAGTCCTTGTTCATGCAGACACACCCATGCACTGGCTGGCCTCACATGTCGGGAGCATGTGCTCTGTGCTGGCTGTGCCAGGAGCTCACACACATCCACCTAGAGGAGTGGGACCCCAAGGTCTTCCCCGATCTTCTTCTCTGTGAATAGTCTGCAGCATAGACCCTGGCTTAACCTGGTAAGTGTCAGAACTTCACATGGAAGGTACCTATTTCATGAGCTGCACGATATTCCCAGCATAGGGAAAATGCTTATTTAAAATCACCACAAGCACCACTCAGTCACCATGTCCCCTGTTGTGTGTTTTAGCTGGTTTCTAAATTCATATGACCTGGGCACAGTCTAGATTTTGTGATGATTGGTCTGGTGGGACGTGTCCTCATTTTCAAGCGTGAGCAGCTACAGATGCACTCCTGGGGTGCAGAGGCCTCGGCAGGTCAGACCTGTAGCGTGCTTTATGGGCTATCTTCATTGTCCAGCTCTCAGAGCTTCCTGTCTTTGTCATTGGAAGGGACAGAAAGCCCCTGTTAAACAGTGAACAATTCGTGGCGACCGGCCACGGGGCTCTGTTGGGAATCGCCGTCCGGTGGGGCTGCCAGCGGAGGCCAGGAGGCGGGGCTGGGACTCGGTGCTGAGCAGGAGGGAGGGCCTGTTGGGTGTGTGGATGCCGGTGGACCTCAGTGCTGGCCTCACCGTGAAGAGCACGTCTGCAGCAAGGAGAGGAACCGTCTGTGCCAGAGAGACCCAGGAAGAGCACAGGCATTGAGAAGGCAGAGCACAGAGGGGGGCGGTGTGCTCTGCGGCCCTGGCTCTCAGGGACCTTGTGGAAATCCACCCACCAAAATGGGCATACCAGGCACTGGTTCCTATACTCTGTCTTCAAAGGAAAAAGAGAGAAGAGCCTTTTGTGCCCAAGTCCTAAAGCCTGGCTGCAGCTTCATGCAGCAGTAAGCCAGGTGTCTGCCCCCAAGGGCTGATTTTCCAAACACTCAGCATCTCATTTAAGACCTAAGCTAAAGAACTCCCTGCTGCCCTGACATGATTAATATAAGACTCTTACTGCCAAAAGCCATGCCAGTTATTGATACAAATTTCTTGACGGTGACTGGAGGTCGTGTTGAGTAAAAGCTACTCTTGGGGTCCCCAGAGAATCAGTCTGGTTCTCACATGCCAGCCGGCACCACCAGCCTGCCCCGGCTGCGCTCAGCACACCTGGTGGGCCAGCATCCTGGGCGGGCATCCTGGGTGGCTTGTGTTTGGGACCCGAGGAGCTTTGGGAAGGAAATGCCCACAGAAGGCTGAGAAAACCCATGGTTTTCAGACGTTGGCCAAACCCAAAGGCTGTGAGCCGACAAAGCAGAGAGACCAGGAGATTGTGAGCAGATTCGTGACTCAGAACTGAATTTTGGATAAGGTTTTAATTAGTAGCATGTTTAAGACAGACGTGGATAAGGAGCACCTGGGCCGCCTGCATGTTTGCACAGCCGCGTCTGACCCGTAGCTGCTCAGTGAGCAGCCTGACATTCCCTGTTCTCCTGATCTGTGCGCACCTTCATGTTTACATGGGGAAGGGAAAGACCTGGGGAGAAATTCGGTGCCAGGCTCAGAACAACACATGATGGGTGGCTCTTCACAGTTACTAACCACTAGTGGCGGCTGCTCCTGTAGACACAGAGCCACTGTGTCTCCACATGTCCTTCCTGAGGTGCCGTGGGCTGCACAAGCTGAGGGCTCCAGTCGCTGGTCACAGGAAGAGGGCTCATGTCCTGGACATGCCACATCAAACGCGCCATCTGTTTCCTTCTGAATGTGTGCCGGTTTGGCCTCTGCTTGGAAGCCAGCATGAAGGGGCAGAGATGGACAGCACGGCTGCCCAAGCTTCAGCCTGGTCACGGTTTTCCCTTGCTTCTGGTGAAGGACGCCAGCTCCGTTTACTCCTTGTTGCTTCTCATGGATGCAGCCCCAGCAGCCAGCTTTACTTGTTGCATCCCCAAGGACTCAGACCTGGGCCTGGGGCAGGTGACAGCCCAGGTGGGTGTGGAGGCAAATAGTACCAGCCCCTGCTCGGTGCTCTTGGCACCTTTCCTGCTCAGAGGAAAGGTCCCCTTGGCCCCACTTTGTCCAGCTCCAGCAGAAGGACTTGCGTTTGGTGGGGTTGCCCTAGCCCATAAACGCTCATGGGAGGAAAGTGGGTGCCAAGGGACCAGAATAAAATGAATACATTATCTAGTTGCAGACCAGCTGTACCTGCTCTAAGAGTGTTGGCTGATAAAGGCGTGCCCGTGGTGCAAGGGCTAAACCTGGCCTTTCAGACAGACTGGAGTGCCGACCCTCCACAGTTTCTGTCCTGTGACCTTGAGCATACGATAAGCTCACTCAGGCCCTCAGAGCATCCATTGTACGGCACTGCACACACTGCCCGGCAGGTTAGCTGTGAGGATTGCAGGCGTGTCGGCATGCAAGGCTCCCCACAGAAGGACGCCCTGGGCAGTGCTAGGCACTTACCCCCACAGGCAGACGCGGTGTGGGCACCAGGGTCTGGGGCCATTGGGCCAGGGGCACTTTCGGCATCACAGGGAAGTATCGCTTGCCAAGCAAAGCAGTGTTACCATTTCCTTCCCCCACACCGAGCTGGACAGCAGGCGGGTCACAGGCAGAGGAATTTACCGGTTTATTTCAAGAAGGCCCAGGGCCTCTTCCCCCCTCCCTTCCTCCCGCCTTCTAGTTGTTTGTTTGAACTTGAGACTTCCTGAGCTTGGAAGGTGTTTTTGGCTCAGGCAGTTGGAGCAGGTCCCTGACACTGGGAGCCCCAGCCAGCACAAGCCCCTTTCCAGTGAAGGAAACGCCCAAGATCTGCAAATAGACCACCGTGCGGCCCGGCCCTGACCCTGTAGTCTTTCTCCGGCACCACGGGTGTGGGGACAGGAGGGGAGCAGCAGCAGCCTCTGCGGGCACGCCCTTGTGTGCAGGTGGTTCTGGGCCACCCCAGTGACCATCTGTGCCCATGGTCACTGCAGCGCAAGGCCAGGGACTCTGGGAGCTGGTTGGCCGCTCTGTTGTTCTTCCTCACGACTCGGCAAACCCAAGGTCACTGGAGGTCGTGTGCCCAGCTCAGTGTGTGGCACCTGGTACAGCGCCCTCCCCAACACCGCCGGCGCCCACCTATTGCTGACTGTCCCCGTGGAGACCTGCAGGGCAGTGGGAACCGCGGGGCTCCGACACAGGGTCACATTCAGCCCTTGCAGGAGCCCATCTGCACACTCAACGCCGTTGCTGCCACGCGTGTCCCTAGAAGACAACAGGATGGCCGAGAGGGGAGCATCCCGGGGGACTCTCAGGGGCCTCCTGCGTCGGCTTCCGCCACGGCCCCTGGGGTGCTGGGGGGCCTCGACGCACCCACAGCCAGGTGAGGCGGGGTGGGGGTGCTGCCTGGGGTGTGGGGCCAGGTGCCAGGGGTCCCTTCCATGGGTGGGCACCTCCCTGTGTTACCTAAATGCGTGCCCCTTGCAAGACTTTGGAGAAAGGTTAGATGCAGCATGCCAGGGCATCTTGCTGAAGCCAATGAGGGTCTAGCTTTACTCGGTTTACTTTGTCCTCTGCTTCTGAGGACCTGGGCTCGTGAGTCCTTGCTCTGGCCATGGTGACAGCGAGCAGACATGAGCAGACGTGCATGAGGGGGCTTGTGCGCAGTGCCCTGGTAACCCCATGGGCATCCTGCCCCAGTTCCTGGCCCTGGGCAGCCTCCCGCCCTCCCTGTTCTGCAGCTGGACAGGGACGGGTCCCCTGACAGGAGCACAAGCTGCTCCCCAAGTGAGCTTCCTCCTGAGGAAGGAGGGGGATTCTCATGGGCCTCAAAGTTGTGATTTATGGATTGATTTCCTCTGGAGCCTGTCCCTTTTCCCAGGAGAACCTGCCCTCCTCAGGGATCTGGAGACCTGAAGTTTGCTGTTGACCTGAGGGCAGCAGCTGGCTCTGCAACCTCGGGCACCCCTTTGAGGGGTCAGGGCAGACTCTGTTCACCTGATGTCTGTAAGGTGAAAGACATCAGAAGTGGCAAAGCGAGTACAGAACCTCCCCCTGGTTTGGGGGCCACAGCCCCTCCCTGTTGGGGAAGTGGAGCCTGGCGCTGGCCATGCCAGTAGCATCCCCAGAGGGCCGAAAAAGCCTGTGCTTAAACCTGGAGGGCTGAGCCTGTGGCCTGGCGTAGCTGACGGCCCCTGGATAGGTGGACCGCCTCACTCAGTGTCCCTTTGGGGGAGGACAGAGCCGGCTCCTGGACAGCCTGACTGCTTCTGAGTCTTGGTGGTTGTTCTGCACGTACCTGCATCCAGGCACATACTCAAGGTTAAAATCACCAGGCTTCCTCCTTCTTATGGACGCAGCCAACTCTGCAAAGTGCGTGGGGCCATCATGACGGATCCTGCCACAGCCCCATGCTCACAGGGGGCGTGGATACTCCATGTGTGCCCTCCCAGCCTCCTCCCCAGTGCTGTCTGGAGCTCACGGGTCACGCATGGGGATTCCCTGGTTGTCTGAGCAGACTCCCCCCTCCCTGGTCTTGTCTCCATTATGTGAGGACACCCAACTGTGAAGGACTAGATTGTCATCCTGGCACCTGGGGCCTGAACCTGTCCCCACACATCAGCCATGGATCCTGGGGTCCAGGGCTGTCTTCTCGTGAAGGGGGGCTGCGGACGGGACAAGCTTTTCCTGTCCTCCTTAGTGCTCGTTAGACACTTCTGAGGCTGGGTGTGCTACTAATGAAACCAGGGTGGACAGTGGGCAGTTAGGGGCTAAGGGACACAATGAGGCCTGGGTCAGCAGGGCTCCCTGATCTGCCTCCGGCCTCCCTCACTGTCCAGCCCCCTGCCTCCCTCACCATCCGGCCTGGCATCTCCCAGCTAAGTCTCCTTGACCCGCAGGTGTGGCCACCAGGCCCCTGGGCACCTGCTGGCTAATTTCTTGCTCCCAGAGAAGCAGTCTTGTCTTGGCTTTCCTTCCTCCTGGCACATTTGAAACCTGTCTGGATACGAGGGTCAGGCTAGCATCTGCGTCCCCGTGCACAGACCTTGCATCCAGCTGCCTGAAGGAAGTATCCTCAGGTGGGAAGTGACCAATAGCCAGACTTCCTGGTGTAGGAGAGGGCATGCACACAGTGCAGTGGCAAGATGATGGTTGTCTCTGATACCCAGAGACAGGTGTGATGTCAGTCAGCGGCCATGAGGGCAACCTCTGGAACGTCGCCTCCTCGCTGTCCCGCAGGAGCTCTACCAGCAGCACTGCCTGAGCTCACGGGGAGGGCCGTCCACTCTGTGCTCTTCTACATGGGCACCTTTCAGACTGAGTTTCACCAAGCCAAGAAAACAGATTGTTTTTCTTAGAATTGAGAAATTCTCTTTATGGAAACATGTTTCTGGTTGGCATGGAGAATTTTAAACAGCACCAGAATAACGTGAAAGAAGCAAATAAATACGTTTGATGCACTTGGGTGAATCGATCACTGCTAAGTAATCACAGAACTTCCCTTTGAGCTTCCTGGTCGCTAATGCAAAAAGGGAAAAAACGTTTGACCACAAGGTCACAAGCAAAAATAACTCCTTCTGGAGAGAAGTCTAGAGGAAACCAGTCACTTAGCTGATCACGCTGGAAACAATGGTGACGTCTTCACAACATTTCCTTTCTTTTGGAAAATCAGTGCCCCTAACAATGTTGAAACATCACTGTAGACTGTGAAGAGGCCCTTTCCAGAGTAGGCCAGGACAGCCCTGGGTCCCTCCCCATTCCCGAGGGCTGAGTGCTGTGGTCAGGCTGTGATCCTGGCCTAGACCGTCTCTGTTGCTGAGACGGGCTGCCCGCCGCACCTCCCGGGACTGGACGACATGTGGCCGGGTCACAGGCTGGGTGGCCCTGTCCCCTGTGAGTGGAGGGGGCAGAGGCCACAGGGACAGGCCCACGAGTATGGGGGATGTGGGCGCTGACACTTGGCCACCGGATCCACTGGGTCCTGGCCATACGGCTTTCAGAAAAGCCTGATTTGCAATCCTGGCTTTCAGCTTTTGAGGAGCTTCAGAAGCAGAGGCCCGCTTTCTCTCTGACCTTCTAGAATTTGGTGAGATCTGCTAAGCCCTGCAGAGCTGAGGAGAGTTTGCTGCTTTATCTAAAGGGTGTTCTTGCAGAGGAAATATTTGTGCTGAGTTGCTTCCCGGCTCTGGTCCCACTTGTTGGTAAGGAGAGGTTCCATGCTCTGGAGAAATCTGGCGATTTATATATCCTTATTTTCATCATTTTAAATATCAGACAACTTGGTTGAAGTTGCTCCTTCTGACCTCCCACTCTGCACCCGGCCTGCAGGGGGACAGCTTGGCTCAGACCTGGGGATGGGTGTGGGCACTGGGGTACCTGGGTCTCTGTGGGGTCTTGGTCCCAGGCACCCATGGTCTAGGCAGCAGTGTGTAGCAGGGAGCCTCACGGGGCACTTGCTGGCCGGGGTGTTAGACGCAGTCCACTGCCTTGGTCCCTGAGTAGGGACTGGGGGTACCCTCCTCCTGACCCTAGGGAACCCAGGCCATGGGGTGGGCAGGGCAGGGCCAGTGGCACTGGGGCAGGAGGCAGCTCAAGCCTTCGCCAGGCTCCAAGAGAGCATCTCCAGGTGGGGTTCAGGCGTCACACCCCAGATGTGTTAGGGACCCACAGACAGTGAAAGCTGGACAGCATGGGAGGGGCATAAGAACAGGTACCCGTGTCCCCGCTCTGTTGACCTTCCTCTCAGCAAACACAGCCTCCGCCCTGTCCCCAAACAGTCCCCTGTGTCCAGATCGCTGGACCTTCTCAAATGGAAGAGGGTGGTGACGAGCAGTTGCTGTGGACATGTTGTCCAATTCAAGGCCCCCAGCGTGTGTGCATCTCCCAGCGGGCAATGTGGGGCCTGCATGGCAGCTCGGGGGAGTCATGGCAGCCAAGACGTCCCTTATCCCTAAACCACGGCCAAGACGAGCCCGGACGTTGCTTTCTAGCTGGCCGGCTGGCCAGGGCGCATGTGTACACAGACAGGGTGGAGTGAGCAGATGTTGCCGGCCTGCAGGAGGGTAATCGCCTTTCAGGGCTTTGTCTCAGCTCAGGGGTGAAACGGAAGTAGAAAGTCAGCTGGTCCTTCACACGGATTTAGGGAGCAAAGTTCAGTGGGAGAGGCTCACAGGCAGCACAGAGGGTAGGGGCAGCGGGTGCAGGGGCGAACATCTAGCTGGTGCTCTGGGGCCATGGGGGACAGGCACGCAGCCCGAATCTCCGTGGCCGAGATGAAATGCTATTACATCTATAGTGAGTGGTGCTCCTGGCTGCTGTCTATCGCTGACGGTGAGTCCCCGGGTCCCCAGGCCACGTCCTGGGGTCACTCAGGGCTGCGGGCTGCACTGGCTGTGGTTGGATATGGGAGCCCTGCCACCTGCAGACAGGAGGTCGTCCTGTGAGTCACCAGGGACCAGCATGCCTTGGACAGAGGAATAGCCCAGGGAATAGGTGTGAGCAGTAGATGAGCCTTCATCCAAACTCATTATTAGATGACTGAGTCCCGCCATCAGCCACCAAAGGGCAAGGACTTCCCTGTGGCTAGTGTAGGTCTGCTCCATGGCTGGCACGAGACAGACAGCAGGGAGCTGGGCCAGCACCCAGCCCATTGGGACTGAGCTGACCTCGTTCGTGCTCAATGTGCAAAGGTCCACGCATAAAGTACAAAACAGAACAAAAGCCACTGGCTACTTAGGATCGGTGATCCGCTTGACCAAGTGACAGGCGGGTAGCTTCCTGGACAGTCGGCAGCACTGTAGAGTAGGTGTGATTTGCTGACATATAGTTGCTCTCCAGGATCCCACAAGCCCAGCAAATTCCTAGAGCCCCCATGGAGGGCCGTGGGCTAAGCAGGTTTCCTGTCCAAAGACCAGCTCCTCCAGTCCCCCTGAAGGTCACGAAATCTGCTGCAGCATGGTGAGGGACACTGCTCTGTACTGGCTGGCTGTCTTCCTGATAGTGATGCGAGACCTCAGAGGTCTCTGTGAGCCGGCTGGGGGGTCACGGCCCCACGAGGACAGGCCCTTCATGGGGCCCCAAGGGCTGAGGGCTCATCGTTGATGGAGAGCTTCGTGATCGTTAGAGCTGTGCCTCCGTGTCTCACCTGAGCCCATTTTACAGACGGGGAGGGCCGGGTTATAGTCATCAGAAATGTCGCTTGTCTGGGGGACTATCGGGAGTGGGGCGCTGGCCAGCAACGTGAGCGGGCCTTGGGTTTGCTGCGAGGCCCACACTTAGCCCAGTTGCTCCTGTTTCTGTGACAGTGGTGATGGGCACCAAGCAGGAGGGTGAAGGAAGGTGATGGGCAGGGCAGTGGACCCCCCAAGGGCCTCTAAGAGGTCT